AGAAACAAGTGAATATTAAGGAATGTTTTGTTTTGGAATAAAATTTAAGGAGGATTTTTTAAAAGAATGAATTTTATGCATACATACACATACTTTATTGATATCTAAATATATAGTTTTAAAATTCTTCAAAAAATATCCTAATGAACACTTTAAAGATATTTTTTAAGTATTGAATGTGATAAATTATAAATGTGTGCTTTTTTTTTTGAAATAGTGTAACCTATTCTTATGACTTTTAGATTAATGGATTTTTTGTTTGTCTCACAAGGATCTGAAAAAAATTTTTAATTTAATATTAAAGCTTCTAAGTAAAATAATTTGTTAATAAAAAGAAAGGAAAGAATTAAGGAATGTGATTGTTTTCCTTTTCAGGTGATGAATGGTGCTATCCTTCAGCAAGTATTTGTAGTAGATTACGTTATTCAGCCCCAGATGTGTGGAGATTGCCATAGAGTAGAAGCTAAGGATTTCTGGAAGGCTGTGGTTCAAGTGAGGCAAAAGGTAATAAGGAAATTCTGCATCTGCTGTTTAATCTCTATCAGCTAATAACAAAACCCCATTTCCAAGTCCTTCACGTAGCAGGGATAGTCTAGATTCTTGGAGAATTCACCTGTAGAAATAGTTCACTGTCACATTTTAATTAATCTTTAAAGATTTTTTTGTTTTAAAAATCATGTGCTACACATATTTAAAAAACAAGTAACAACAAGCGTTGGAGAGGATGTGATAAAAAAGGAACTCTTCTATGGAGATATCTCAGTCTACCATATTACCCAGCATTCCAGTCGTATAAACATTAATTCAAAAGAATACCTGCACTCCTACATTTATGGTGGTACTATTCATAATAAGTAAGACTTGGAACCAATCCAAATGCCCAAATACAGATGATGGGATCAAGAAGATGTGGTATTGGTACACAGTGGAGTACTATTAAGTAATCAAAAAGATAAACAACTGTCATTTGCAGCAGCATGGATAGAGCTAGAAGGGACAATGTCCAGTAAAATAAGACAAGGGGATAAGAAAAATACCTGTGCTTTCACTTATAGGAGGAATATAGGGGAACCAAACAAGGAATCAGGAAAATACAACAAAACAAAACAAAAATAAACAACTATAAATTATAGACATCCTCCTGAGAAAGGGGAGGATAAGAGATCAAAATGAGGGTGGAAAGAGCACAAGGAACTACAGTGGTGGTGCACAGGTGAATTTGGTGGTGGAAATTCTATAGGGACTACACCTCAGAAAAGAAAGCAAATATTAAAAAGAACAGTGATGTAAAATATAAATTATTTAATAAAAACAAAGTGTGAT